CATTATAGTGGAGTAGATGTTCTATCATTAGAGACTTTTTTATTACTCTAAGTTTTCCGGCATTGAGACGATTATTTTGTATCACTTAGCGAATGGTCTCTCTCTTTTTTTTTTTTTTAAATGGCAAAACTAAAGCACTATCTGACCATAGAACATATACAAATGCTAAATGAGTCAAATTTGCTGAGTAAAATAGCAGCAGATATTATATTCCTGTGACATGTTGCAACGTTGGACTTTGTGTACACCCATGTTTCAAAGAATATCATATACTATCTCATTTTGAAATATTGCTTACTTTTCGTTGTTTGCTCGTTGAATTTTTATGAAAGACAGTTTTAATATTTTTTTATTTTAATTGTGTGTTGTGTTAAATAAAATCTGCGATTTTTTGGATATTTTTCCATATATGCAGTCAAAAGTCTTTAATCCGGACTCAACGAGACTTTGACGATTCTGGATTATCGATTTTTCCAGATTATAGATTATCAGTTTAAATCTGGTAAGATGGCATGCAGAAATTATAAAATTAAAAATATGAAACCGTAATTTATGAAATAAAGAGCAATTATGATGTAAAGTGTATCAAAATTTACAGAAAAGAAAAAAAAGCTTAATATTTATTTGTTTACTTTATTAAACATTTCTTTCAATGCGCGCATGCGTAAAGCATACATTACATATAGCCGAAATTAGAAAATTGCAACCAGAAAACTATTTGATTTGTATTCGTGATATTTATAATGAAGAGGAATTTGATTTAAATCATATCAAAGACAGAGTAGATTGAGATGAAATACTACATTTAGTAAGGAATTATAAGGCAAATAAAATAAAAACATCTGCTCTGAAGATAAGAATAGTGCTGACAGATCAACTTCCAGTTCATTGTGCCGCAATGCTGCCCCCCCCCCCCCCCGTGCAGAGCAGAGCAGCGTGAAATTGATAAACAGATTTCGGAATAGTTAGAGAAATAAAGGAGCCTTTATCCATTTTTTGCGTTCGAAATATGCTTTCCCTTTGTAGATCCTTTGGCAGCTCCAGCATCAGAAATTCTGTTTGACATAATCGAAAGTTCCAACTTACTTTTATAAAATTACTTTTAAAAATTTTAATGACTGCAATGACAGTCTGCAAAAAATAATAAGTCGGATCCAATTCGAAGATTAAGGCACAACGCAATCTACAACATTAACTGAAATAGATAATTAGCTAATTTTAGCTTAGCTTATACCGTCTGTTATACATTAAAAGCGCATGCGCAAACGTATTATGCGCATGCATACACACATGCACAGAAAGGTTGTAGCTTTGAGGTCCGAATTATAGATCATTCCGGATTATGGGTGTCCGGATTAACGACTTTTGACTGTATTTATTTGTGGGATAAGGGGAAAATTATATTATTCTATAACGAGTATTTTATAAAAATTTTAAGGAAAATATAATAATAAAGCTTTAAAATTAATTCTGACAACTACCTGAATATTCTTCTCATAATGTACCAAAAATTGGAACAATTGGATGAAAAATTTAATTTATACGAATTTTTTTCTAACACTAGGCTTAGCAGCATGACTTGCCCGTCCCCACAAAACGACACATCTGGTTAACACTCCGTCCCAAGACAACGCTTCGGTAACAGACGTGCCTGTCGTGAACGGGTTAAGTTGTTTTATTGTTTTTAAACCTTGTATCTTTCCAGGCTTTTTGCATTATGCAGGAGCAGCTTTTGGCTTGATTATTAGCATTGAAAAGAGTTCTTCTCTCCATGTTAAACTCAAAACTATAGCACTGGCTACTACCTATGAGAGATATCCTACAGTGCACTGGACTCGCATCTATACTGATGGCTGGAGTCTTTTCAGAATTATTTCGATTGTGTGACACATTTGGACACTTTTGTGACAACTTTAATGCTGAATTGCATACAATTTTGATGGCCCACCTAGTCATAGCAATATTCCTGGCAATGAGCAGGCAGACACACTCCTAAGGAGGATTGCGGTTTTAGCCAACCTGAATTACATGTTCCTCTTAGGCCCATATCACACATGCATTTGTTTCATACAAACAACTGTTTCAGATAGTTTTTCTGCCTGGTTTACTATTGAAAGAAAAACACGAGATTTTTTCCTTCCTTTCGAAAAAAATTGCAAGTTGTTCGTTTTCAACCTATCAGCTATCGGCTTGTTTGTAATGGAGAACCAGTTTCCCCTTTACATGTTAACCCTAAAGTGATCTGTGGTGACTGGCTGTTGGGACAAAGCAGAAAATTGTTCCAAATAGTTGTTCTTTCGAAACAAATGGATGTGTGATAGCAGCCTTAGAAGCATCAAATGGACTATTAGACAGCTCATCCTTAAGGCCAGACTCTGTCATTACAGAGATGTTGCCAGTGCAAAGAACTGATGCTGCTTATTGGACAAAAAGATGTGTTTCTCTGCCAAGAGCTATTGTTATAGTTTGTCACAGATTCATGCCGCAGTATGATTACTTATAGGCTCATCTTTTTAGATTTGGACTTGCTGATTCCCCAGACTGTATGCCTCTGCTGCAATGACAGGACAACTTTTTTCTCGTACTGCTTTGTGAGATGTTCTTTCATCGGACTTCTTTATGACTTTGCCAACAACTACAGGGGTAATTTCCTTTATTCAACTGCAAGGTACCATATGCTTGTAAGAGTTGGCGAGCAAAATAAAAAAAAAAAGGGGGGGTCCACTTTTGCTTTGAAATTATCAGTCTTTTCAAATAAAGTAATTATTAAGTTAGTAAGTTGGATAGTTGCTTCATAAATTTCATTTATTTCTTTGGAATTCCACAAAATGTGAATATTTATTACTGTATATAACCCAAGAACTTTTGGAACTTTTTCTGAAGCTAAATTACAGAGGTCAGCTTATATATGCATTCGCTAATCTTGCAAAATATGTAGTAACTTTTCTGTTAGCCAGACACAAAGAATAAATCACCAAACATAGCACTTTTTAGTTATTATTTCTATAGTCTGTAGTACTTAAGCTTATGAAAAAAGTTAATTTTAAATGAAATAAATTATTTATTTTATGAAAGTGAGTTGTTTTATTTTCGAAATTGTTCATATTGCTTTGTTGTCGCAAAAATGAAAATAACACGTCACCAAAACAAAAATAACACTAGCATAGATGTCACAGATCATACGGGACAGCAAATGACTGGAAAAAATGTCCTAACTTCATACAGAGTTAAACGATATTTTTTTATTACATACCTGCCACACTTTTTGGTAGAATTTTTAACACAATTAAATGTGCTTAAACAAACATGCACACAAAAATGTTTCAGTTCATTTGGGTGCTGTTATTTGATTTCATTGTGTGTTTAGTCTTTCTTTCACAGGCACCAATAAGCATGGCAGGTGCATAATGGAAAAGTTCCAATAAAACTGTCGTCTTTTTCATCTGATGTTTTACTTTGCAACAGTTCATTGGAAAATATTGCACCATTTTACCAGCTTGGCTTGAATTTTACAAGAATTTTTTTTCTGCATTCCGCAATTTTGGTTTATATGCAAGTTTTGAATTTTGGGTAAATCTTTAAGAAAAAATGTACACTTGGCTTTTATTCAGAAATATTTATTTCTTTAATATATATTTTTTTGATGAATTTCACAAATGTACTTAATCCCTCATCAGCCTGATATCAAGCGATCTTGGTGAAACTTCCTTCAAATTTGAAAATGTTTTAAATAAATAAAGAAAGCAAGTGATAGATGAATGTGAAGTTTTAAATAAAAAACTTGACTGAAAATAGCAAAAAGTTGTGAAGCAGCTGTGAACTTTTTTGAAAAATGCTGAATGAAATATCAACAGTACTACAGTCAAGTACCGAAAATCCGCCGATCTGAAATCCACTTTGCCTCTCAAAATATAAACATTTAGTTTATAGGTTCCGGAAACCGCAACATGGAGTGTGAAATATCGAAGAAAAAATAGTTACTGGATAATGACGTCATAATTACCAAATAATAATGAGTCATAACGGAAATACCAAACTATTGGCATCATGATAAAAGATTTTTTCCTCCAATCTGCATCGAGGTGAAAAAAGCAGACAATTAACTCTTTTAAGTTCACGCTGTTGTACTTTCTGAGCTTTGTTATTTCACGAGATTGTTTAGTGATGCTGTTTTTTTTTTTATCCGGATATTTTGTGGATAAATTAAGAATATTTTTAAATTTCAGCGCTTTTTAATACAATGGCAAATAAGAAACGCACTCGTGATTTTACTGCTTGCAACGTTGAAAAACGTAAACACGTTCCATTGATGGTAATGAAAAAAATGGAAATTCTGCTAAAGATGGAGGCAGGTGCTACTGCTCGGTTTATAGCAGGATCATATGGAATTGCCACACAGACTGTGTATGCTATACGGAACAGTAAAGAAAAGCTGTTGAAATTTTACAGCAACAGTGATTCTAACCCCGGAATATGAAACCAGAAATCTTTACATGAGGCGAAATCAGCAAACCTCGATGCTGTCTTGTACGAATGGTTCCGGCAGTGGCGGAGTGATGGGGGTACCTATTTCAGGATTTCAGGAAAAGGGGAAGCTGATTTAAAAATATAGGAGCCTAATATAAATGAACAATATAATATAATCAGTTTATATATGTAATAATAATTGAATGCATATGCATTTAATTATTGTATTAATGTATATAATAATTTAATTAAATGTATCTAATATGCCGTATTTATTTTGCACTTTTAGTCTGAATATTATCTTTTCTATTCTGAAATTCGCACAACCTCTGGTCCCAAGCGTTGCGGATTTCTGGACTTTTACTGTATCATGTCGTAGGAATGTCAAGTGAAAATCTTAATCTTCATTCATCCTTTGGATGATGATGACATTTCTATTTTTTTTTCATAATCTTTTAAAACTTATATGAATTTTAAACATTTATTATTTTTAAAAGTTAGTTTCCTTTCTTTAATTTGCTTTTCTGTTTCAGAACCTGGCTTTATTTCTCACATATTTGAAGATACACTGCTAGATGTGCCAGTGACTTTTCTCCTTCTGAAGATGAAAGAATGCCTTTTTATTTGGGTTGGTGATCAAGGAAACTTTGACTCTCTTGCTGTTGCTATGAATACACCTTATAGTAATATTCCTATCTGTTCTTCAGTTATGGGATATTTTGCTGATGATGATAGTTGTTCTTTAGCATTAAAACTTAGTAAAAGAACAAATAAGCAAATTTTTGCTAGTTACAATCTAGCAACTAATAATAATAAACTTAATATCTTAGTGCATGACAGGATAATAAAAGAATTGACAGAGCATCCTGAAAAGTTTTGAAAATATTTTTAATAATGAACAAATTAAAATAATGTGTTTCGTCAACCATATGGATGAATACTCATATACAGGATATGAACAACAGCAGTTTGTATATATGTGTATAATCACATACTACTTAAAAATTAATTTTAAGAATTAGAATCTTGTAATGTTTTATTTATGCTTATCATTTCCATGTGGTATTAATAATACAATAAATATTAATTTCAGAGTTCATAGAGATGAAAGAAAATGTAAACAGCTAAGCTGATATTTTTAGCAGCTCAAGTTATGTCTAAACCAAAATGTATTGATTTTCACTGCTCATTGTGAATCTAATACTGTACTATGTAAATAATAATTTTGATTTAAATATGAAAAACAGAATTTTGTTTAATATTTTATTATTATTAATGTTTTTATATTACATGGTTATGGTTTTTTATAATTCAGACGAATTCTTGATGAATATGTAGAGATATGCTTCAACCAGGAATCAAATCTGGAATGTCTTAGTTATCTGAGAAGCATGCTTTCACTTCACTATCAAAACTAATGCTTACTCATTTTTAATTTCTCTTGAAACATATCAAGTTTATTTTTACCACTTTTCCATCATACCCAATACGCCCTAAAAGAAGAGAGAGGGGTGACTTTTTTTAGGACCAAGGCGTTTGGTTACGAAGTACCTTTGCAAATTAATTGCAATTATCTCCACATCATAATTAAGAAACACAAATTAAATAAGAATAAGCATTATCTAAAGAGTAAAGAAACAGAACTGTTACAATTTTTAGAGGAAAAGGTCAATTCATGAAACATCAGGCCTTTTATGTTTTGAGAAACGTATTTAATACCATGATCTTTTTTGAGCCTTCATTAATGTAGCCATATATCAATGCATCAGTAAGTTTTAGTATAATTTTACATGGATAGTTAAACCACTGTAAGCTGGTGCTGGATTCATATAATACTTTGTATATTATGTCTCACAAGTGTTTCAGTGCTTCTTCATATTATTAGAAAATTATGAAGTCCAAATCATGGTAGTAAAGTTAGTGGAATGTCTCTCAATTTATTTTGCAAGTCTTTTTAAATTTTGCAACATATATTTGGTCTACTGGAAACTTCTCTCCGTTCCTATGACAACAATTTTCAATACGTAAGCGCATGTTTATTTGGCGCTTGTTTGGCTCTCTATTTTTATCGCTTATTGTATATATACTGACATAGCAAATTAACTAAAAAGTGTTGATTCAAGTTAGTCTTAAGTGTGAATGGCGATAGTGTACTATTGATAAAGTTCATTTACGCCACTGTATTTTATATGAATTTTAACAAGGAAGAAATGCTAAAGAAGCAGGTAGAAATTTATTGAAAGTGTTTGGTGAACATGCAGTTTCTGATAGGATATGCAGAAGATTGTTTGAAAAATTTGAAAGAGGTGATTTCGACCTTTTTGATAAGCCACAATCTTTGATTGACGATGATGTTGTTGAGACCATACTGAAGTGAGATCCTTTTCTGACAACATCGGAGATGACAGAAAGGCTTAATTCAGCTCTTTAAACCATTTTGAACCATATTCGGATATTTGCATAATTTTGAATAAATTTATCGTATATATTTATACGTCCTAAAAATCTTTGTAATTCTTAAACATTTTTATGGGTTTCTAATTTTTTAATAAACTAAATATTTGCATTACTGGGCTGATATTTTCCTGCTTGAACATATCCTAGAAAATTTACTTTTTCTTTAGCAAAGTTACATTCAGATTGTTTTAATTTTATATTCTCTTTTTTACATATGTCAAATATCAAAATTTGGGGAACACACTATAATATCATCAAAATAATTTAAGGCAAACTGAATCTGATAATTGCTTAGAATTTGCCTAAGAGCTCTTTGGAAAACAGCTGGAGAATTTTTCCAACCAAAAGGTAATCTATTGAATTCATAAAGGCTAAAATTTGTGGTAAGTGCTAATTTTTCAGTATCTTTTTCATTTGATTTTATATGCCAATAACCAGATGCTAAGTCTAACGTGGGAAAAATTTTTGCTGCATCAGTTCCAGGAATCAGTTTAGAATACGTTTTAGTAATTTGGTTAAGTTTCCAATAATCAATATACAATCTCGTTTTTGAATTTTCATCTCTCTTATAAGCTACAGGTTACAGGTGGCAGCGCAAGGACTGAATGAAGGTTTAATTATTCCAACATTATAACTACAATTCATCTAATTGTTTCTTAATTTCACTATTATCTTTAGGAGATGCTCTTTATGGTTTAAACTCTATAGGTAATTCTAAGATTAAAACTACTCGTGGAGGTTCCATATTAATACAACCCACATCCATGTTTGTTTTTAGCAAATATATGATTATATAGGTACTTAGCAATTTGATGATCAGCAATTTCACTATTTTCAGCATAAGTATCAAATTTCTTAGAATTTACACTATTTTCACATACAGAATTATTTTGGAAAAGTTTATCTAAGAATGCTTTTACTTATTATACGTTTAAACTGATATACTTCAGAATTATTAAAATTCAATTGCAATTTAAATAAAGAAACACAAGATGATAATAATAAATATGTCAGATTAGAATTGACAAACAAAATATACTAAGCCTATTTATTTTACATGATAATTTAATTATTTTAGTCACAGAAAGACCTCCAGATAGAGACAATAATTTTGAGTTAAGATTATTCTCAATAATTTCAATTTGTGCATTAATACAATTTATATTTTTTTTCATGTATGATATTTACATGTGACTCTGTATCAATGATAGCAGGAAAGATTTTCTGATTACATTGACTACTTACTTTAAAATATTTTCACTTCTTAGGTTTGAGTTTTTTTTTTTTTGAGAAGATTCATAATAATATTTTAAAAAAGGAAGTGACTGATAAGGATATGCCACCTTGTTGTGGTTGGAAATTCCTCCAGGCCTAATTCTGGGGTATATATTGCCTATGATAGAAAGGCCTTGGAGTACGATATCTATGCTGGTAAAAAATTTGCTGTAAATTTAACATGGCAGTTGAAAATGTTGGTGTATTATTTATATTTGGTACTTCTCCCAGTGAACTTGATGTAGGGAACATTTTTTGTACCAAAGATATCCACTCTTGTAAAGACGTGATGTTCGACACAGTTAGCAACAACCTTTGTTGCTCTGGCAGTCTCTGATTCAAAGTGCCAATTATAACTTTATTGTTTAACTTTAAACTAGATGCAAATTTTAACTTTTTTCAGAAATACTTGTCATTGAATTTAGACTAAGTAATAGCTACAAAATCATCAAAGGTAACAGTTTCGGCACTTGGAAAATACGTAAGAGGTTTATCCTTAAGGGTTTTCCAATCCAAGTCAACACATTCTCGAACATAAAATGCTAGTGCCTCACCTATTAAACACTCTAAAATACTAATGGTTTTTCTTTTTCATTAATATTTTACTTTCACATTTCTTTTTAAACAATAAAAAATATTTATCTATAAGAATATCAAAACTCTGAAATTTATCCATGCTTATTGAAGCAATTTGTGTAGATGCTTTCAACCGAGACCTTGTTTCCATAATTTTGTTTTTACTTTATGCCGAAACTAAACACAGAAGAATTTGCAAAATAATCACTACTGAATCACCATTTTTTTTTAGAAACACTGATAATCATGATAGACATTTTCTGAAGAATGTACACTAATTATGACACTGAATCATTGCACATAAACATACTGAAAATACAAAATTGAATATTTTATGACATGTGCATACACATCATTAAAAATTTTCAACAGATGTCATCACTACAATTTTTCACTGATCATGTTGCAGAGATCAACCTTGACATACATTAATGAAGACACGGAAAAAACAGCATTCAGTAGTGTATCCATTGTAGTTTTCATCGCAAATAAATCATATTGCGTAACAGCCAAAGGAAGCAAACAGTTCAGTGGCTTTTAAAGCATTTTTTAATTTTTGTTTTCTCAGTCACTTTATCATATTGTCGAAATCCATTGGGAAACTTTCACTGCAAGTAATCCCGGCGGCTTTAAATATCACAGATATTTTAAGTGCGAAGTTGTGATGGCTGTGTGGAAAAGACAGGAATAAGACGCTGACAAAACTAATTTCGGCAAATCACCGATCTTTATTTTCACAAATATCTAATCATTTTGGTAGACATTTATCCAATCATACTTAAATACACTAATTTTTATGTAGACTGGTTTTAAAAGTATGACGTAAGCATAAGCAGCTTGGAGATGTTGGCAGGGCAGAAGTTAAAAAAAAAAAAGAATGACACAGTTGCTTGCGAGCAGTATTTATACTAAGTAGGTGTGCAAATATAGTTAAGCTGTGATTGGTTAATTTTAGGTTGTAATGTAACGTGGAAAGATCACGAATTTGGGAGAACAGATGCACTTAGGCGGAAGAACACCAAAATTTAAAATAGTCAATTTTGAGGTGTCCAATTATTTGGATGCAGAACCATTGTATTTTATTATATCTTACATATATATTGTTAAGCAAGTTATATATAGTTTCATATTCATAACAAAAAGTAAACTTGATAGCCAATTAAATGATTTGTAATAACCAATAGTCACCTTCACACAAAAAATTACAGCCAAATAGACGATTGCACTCTAAAAGTTTCTTGCCAACTGATCATGTGTAGTATTCTACACTCAGTTCCAAAAAATTTGTTTCTGGTAAACCTAGATAACTTTTTTTATCAGTTTTGTTGCTCTTTAAGTATTTCACTAAAGGCTCATTTGGAAGTTGAACCATAAGTTTACACTTTTACACCTACATTTGTATTTTTTCGTGCGTTGTCTTAAAATTTTCTTATTAGTTAAATGTCTAATTCCTTTATCATATATTTTATTGCATTGCTTGTTTTACACTGTCTTTTTCTTGGTCTTATTCCTCCCCTTTCTACTCTTTTACTATATATATATATGCCCCATTATCGCATAGATCATTGAATACACATTTAAACATTAAATTATCTTAAATTTGTTTTGTTTTTGTGTACAGCAAAAGTAATTTATTAGTTTGTATTCAAAGATTGATTGTGACTAAACATGATAATCCTTAAATTATTGTGCATCTGCTAAAGGAAAATTATTTCCCCTTGAAAAGTTAATTCTCCTTTGACAAATAAACAATAATTTAATTTTTACATTTTGTTTCTCTTGTAGAAATTTAAAAAAAAAAAATGTTTCATTTGTATATTTTTATAATATGACACATCTATGCTCAGGTAAACTTTAACAGCATTTTTAATAGTTACTATTCATTAGCCCAATTTTTATATTTCACACTTCTACATTAGTTGCATATTAATTCAATTTACTTTATTTACATTACAATATAGAAATACTGTTCCTAGATGGTAATAATTAAAACCTAATATTAAATACATATATAAATCAAAAAGTAAAGGTCAGAATGAAAGTGAATAAAATTCTGTTCCTGCAATTGAAGGTATAACCTTTCTTCTGTGGGTAAAAGTTACCAAACTGAATAAATGCAAATTAATGACACTTTCAAAAACGGAATCTTTAATTGAAAATTAAAATGACAAAAGAAATTTTTTTAAAAAAACTACAGAACATTATACATAACAAAACAATTTTTATACATATATATTATAGTTTCTGATATGTATATTACTAGATATTTTAAGGCATAAAATGAAATGTCACACAAATATATACAAAATAAAATATTTTATTCTTTGACAAAGCAATAAATAGAAAATATTTACTAAATTTCTTTACACTTTAATTTTTGTGATTTTATTTCTCAGTAACTAATGCGATTTGGAAGTACAATTAACGATTTTGTAAAGATTGCAAAACTACATCTGGAGGAAGTCTCTTTAGGCAACAAATATATTTAACCAAACATATTTTATCTTGGATTGATTTTGGAGATGGTTTTCTTAAGATCCTCTCAACTTCAGCTTCTAGATTTTGCATGTAGAGTTGACGTTCTGCAAGTCTTTCTACAATGAAAATGGCAAACTATCATGAATAAATATATTCATCAGCTGAAGTAACATCAATCAAATGTACAATGTTCTATAAGTAATTATTTAACTTTTAATAAACTGGATTTATTTTTCTTTCGCCTTAGTATTTTCCTATTGGCCCTGAAAGTTTGCAGAGATTCCATCAAACTTCTACCAATCATTCCAGTGGAAGTTTGAAGGTACAGATTGTACTTTATTTGGTCAGATAATCACAGACTGCTCTTTACTTAAACATATAATTAACGGACACAAGTTATAAATATAGCATATAAAAAAACTTACATAAATAGCAGTTTAAGCTTTAAGATTATTTGAAGAACAAATTCTTCAAAACTTATATCAATCATTCCAGTGACTACGATTTTCTAATCACATTTAAAACAGAAACAAAATAGTCATCTTTGTGAACTAGGTGTAACAAAAATTCTCTGAAATACAAATCTAATTGGTACCACACGGCTGCACTATATTTTTAATCATGCCATTTTGGCAAACCCCAGAATATTTCAGTGCTTTAAAAAACACACCAGTACAGCATGTTCTTTAATTTAAAAAATACTAAACTACTGTCTGTTCTGTTTAAAGGCAGATCCAAAATTTTAATCTTTTTTTAATGCAAGTAAAAGTATGGGAGATAAAAGTGATGCACCATGGATCAACTGATAATGCTTTCCCACACTAACCCTTGAAAAAATTGCAAGCTTTATAAGAATTTACAAGGAAAGGTTAAGGAGATGAACATCTGAAGCTTAATATAATAAGTACTGGAAACAGAATATTATAATGAACTGTTCTAATATACTAAAGAAGTATCTACGAGGTTAAATCATTTGAGAATAACATCAAAAAACACTGCAAGTAAGAACCTGAGTGCTTAGGGTTTGGGAAATGCAAAAATGAAAATAATTTTGACAAGCAGTCAACTTGTATTCTTTACAAAAGCCATTTTGGCTTACTGAGAATTGCAGTTCAAGGCAAAATCACTGCCATAAAAGCACTTCAAATTGCCACCAAACCATGTTGCAACAGAGACCTTCCTTTCAACCTTTCACGCATCTGGACATCGGACAATAAGCAACCCTGCAGAAAGCAATAAAAGACGATGAACTTGATCAAACTATCAAACAGCTTCAGCTGTAGAGCAGACAGGTCATCTGTGCAAGCTTATATTTAAGTGTGGTTTCAGCATATCAACCTAGAATAATCTCATTTTGAGAAATAAGAATTAATGCTGAATCTAGCCTATTAAACCTTTGGTTATTTTGTTGGATCAACAAAGTATCCTACACAAAAATTTCTTTAATTTTGGGAAAAGATGGTCAAGCTATGCACTTTAAAGAAAATTTTGAAGCAGATTTTTGTGTGAATCTGGCCAGGCATTGTTGTGAATATTGGTTGTTCTGTTGAATCAATAAAGCATCCTACCCAAAAATTTCTTTAATTCTGACAAAAAAGGATCAAACTGCCCTTCTAAAGAACATTTTGAAGCAGATTATATGTGAATATGGTCAGGCACTGTCGTGGAGAGAGATCAGTTGTTTCAATAGAAATGCTTGGCTAAATTCCAGTAAATGATAATCGGATTTCCATTACATATGTGGCAGAGGGTCCAAATCTTTTTAAGCAGATGAGTGGATGCAGAGAAATGAAGCACGACTTGATCATGGAGAATGTTCCTTCCCACCCTAAGTAGAAAATGTTTTATTGATAATGAAAAATTCCAGTAAATGATAACTGCATTTCCATTGCATCTGGCAGTAGAAATACAGATATGTATATGATTTCTCTCTTGGTACAAAATTTATCTCCGTACCATTGATATCTGTGTGGAATTAAGCCAAGGCATTTCCACTATAAAAAGATTTTGTTCAGCAAATTTTTATTAATTCCTTTTTTATTACCAAATGGCTTATACTTTTTTTTTTTTTTTTTTTTTTTTGCATCATATATATGAAAAATTTAACCCCCCAAGCAACCAAGTCGTACATAAATGTTAAAAAATATTTGTAATGATATCTTTAAGTATAGAGACATGCATCTTGAATTAGTCCAGAGGATTAAAGTAGTACATATATTGGAAGAAAATGCATCAAGGTACAAACTGGGAGGGTCATTTTTGAATTACAATAAAACAAATATCACTTACTCATGGCCTTTTTTCAAGCATTAAGGTGCGTCCGCATGACTTAAATGACACGGCAAAATGCATCTCACCGGTAAAAAGTCATTCAAATGAGGATATGAGCGAAGTCTGCATTTAGCCAATAGAATTACTGAAGAGAAAAAATTATGTGACACTCATAGAAGGCTGCAATTTCAAAGTGTTTTACTTTCTGTTTTGTAGTCTTGTCGTTTTTGCAGTGCAATTTTGTTTATTAAGCAATTTAACAACTCGGATAGTAAGATTAAACAGTTATTTATTATATGTACAAATCAGTTTTTATGCAAATTAAGACTTATAAAATTGTTTTGGTTGTTAAGATTTATAAAACTGTAAAAAATTCAAATTTATAAAATAGTACATAAAGAGAATTAAATGACTCGAAACACCATCCACCATATAATAAAATCAACTTCATATTTTTTAATCTTTTCCCCCTTCCTTGGCTTACTTGTTTATGTGTGGTAAGGGAATCAGTGTAATAAGTGTTCTATAATTTGATTATTATGCATATATAATTAAATAAATTAGAAGAAAAAAGTCCATTCAATAAAATTTCTAAAGAAACGTTGTTTTAAAATATTTTTAGAACAATGTGACATTAACCCAAAGGCTCTCGAAATATGTATGTGTTTGTAAGGGGGGGAGAAACCCGCCCATTTGGGAGTAATATAAAACCTGATTTTATATTTTGAAAGCTTTCAAATTTTTTCTTTTTATTATTTCTTACTTTTACTAGCCCAAAGGAGCAATTTGCTCAGAGAGGCTATGAATTTTTTTTTTTTTTTTTTTTTTTTTGGTATTTTGCGTTGATTCACTATAAACGGCAAATCATTTTTTAAATTATTGCTACTAAATATTAGAGCCCTGTATTATATTTAAAGAAATTAAATGATGAAGATTCTGTATAAATGTATGTTTCTCGCATAGAGCTATCAAATTTTAAATAACATACGTCTCCACCCGAATATGGGCATCTAGAAGCCCAAATTTGGAATCTGGAATTTGTTTCATTATCTATTTCATATTTTGTAAAGTATATTTATAAGTTTTTGATTAAGAAACTCAACAATTTCAAAGCAAGCAATTGCACACTGTACGAAAAAAAAAAAAACATTTTTATCTCCATTTATTATTATTTTATGATTTGTGGAATATTTTTCCATTTTAGTTTATATATATATATACACTGACTACCACTAAGTATTTGGACACCTGTGATAGAAAAGAAAAACTAACTTTATTCAAAATCAATAATTGGTAGAGCCTCCACGAGAGGTAATTACAGCATGGACCCTCCGGGGCATACATTGCACAAGTCTGTATGACAGCTAGTGGTATTTTCTTCCACTTGAAAAAGACATAGAAGTTCCTTCACTGATTTTGCATGGGTAGTGCACCCTGAATTCGGCGATGCATTTTGTCCCAGAGGTTCTCGATAGGGTTCAGGTCTGGACTCTGGGCAGGCCAGTCCATTCAATGAACTCCATTGGCACCATACCAAGCCTTGGTTAACGTCGAAACATGACAACTGGCATTGTCGTCCTGAAAGTAACAGGGGTCCAACCCATAAAACTGCCACAACGTAGGAAGCACATTGTCATCCAAAATAGTGCAGTAGGCATCGATCAGAGTTGAGCTTACCATGAATGAGGACCAAGGGTCCCAGCCCATACCAGGAGAAACACCCCCAGACCATAATTCTACCTCCGCCGAACTTGACTGGTTGCACAATGTATTCTGGCAGGAGACGTTCTCCAGGTAGATGCCAGACCCAGACCCTGCCATCCGAACGGTAAAGAGTGACCTTGATTCGTCACTCCAAAGAACCCGTTTCCACTGATCTACGGTCCAATTTCGATGTGCTTTGCACCACATTAACCGAGCAGCGCGCTTGGACGTTGTGATCAAAGGCTTTTGGGCAGCAGCACGACCATGAAAACCAAGCAGATGTGCTTCCTTACGAATGGTATTCATTGAAACAATACTCCCGGATGCCTGTTGAAACTCCTCGCGGATGAGGGCCATCGGTTGGGTACGGTTCTTCCGAATTTCTCTAGACAGCACGCGTCGGTCTCTATCTCCTAGTTTCGTTGGTCTGCTGACTCGGGGCACATTCCGACAATCACTGCTAACCTTCCACTTCTTAATCACATAGGCCACTGTCGATTTTGAGTACCCCGAGATCGCTAGATATGTCCCTTAAGGATCGGCCACATTTGTGATACCCGATAATTATACCTTTCTCTAAATCTGAGAGCTCCGAACTGCGAGGCATCTTGCATGCAACTAAAGCCGATGCTGTTTCCTACACGATATATACTGGCGGGAGTCCATGACGTACCTTAGGACTGCAGATTTCGTCATTTGCATAGGTGTCCAAATACTTATTGGTAGTCAGTGTGTATATATATGGGTTTTGAATTTTGGGTAAATTTTTGAAGGAAAAATGCACTTTTGGCTTATACACGGATTGGTTTATATTTAGAAATATGCAACAGTCACAACTATTCTTTAAATAATTAAAGATAAAATACAAGCACAAAAAAAAAAAAAAAAGGTAATAAAAACAATGAAACAGTAAATAATCAGATAAAACTGCTGAAGAAAGCCGAGTCAAAGCAAAGATGATATAGTTATGAAATTTATTTATTTGAGAATTTTGGGGTAAAAATATATTTATGGGTGCTTCTTGGTGATAACTAGCAGCACATGGACACCGAGTTTGTGCAATTATTTGAGTTGTTATTTTGGCTTTGTGTAGCAGCGATTTTTGTCCAAAATAAGAAAAAAAAAAAAAAATTGCACAAACTCGGTATCCATGTACACATTGACCTATTTTCATTAAAAAAACATCAGAGAATTGCACAAACTAGGCATTGAGCACTCCCTTTATCCATGTGCACATCGATCTATATTCATTTAAAAATTCAAAGGGGCAGCCATTAAAAAATATATAATATCAATAAACTACATTTTAAACCAAACTATGAAATAACATAAAAAAGAAATTCATCTTAGCACTACAAGGAGAAATATCCACTTACCTTATTTATGAATTTCTGCATCTTCAGTGAAACAAAATTCCTTAACAACATACCAAAACTTCCTAAAATTATATGAACTAGAATGTGTGTACCGGAGTTGCTACACAAATTCACAAAAATATCATCATCCGTAGTTCCGGTATCCTGCTATGTTTTACCATACGCCTTTCCTTCCTGCAAACAAGGCTTATAACAGCTACTAAGTAAACCTTTAGTTACATACCAATTAATGAATGCTTTTCCCCCTTTCGTTCCAAATCATACATAAACTTCAAATTAATCTTACCACATTCAGCCATTTTACTGTGTAAACCACAAAATAACAACGTACTTCATATCCAAAATCCGACACCCCAAATCTTTTCCCCATCATTCAAATCGACTGCAAACAATTACGTCATAATAGGGTTTCCATAGTATTCAACTACTCAGGTTACCATAAATGAAATAACAACTTGGCGATAAATGAAACAACAACTTAGTGATAATCCAAGGGACACCCTTAAATCTACTCTAACCAATTTTTGTTTGATTAAATGCAACGAAGCACATGATAGCTATCTCCTTAAACAGATGCCTCTGTAGAATATTTAAGGAAAATTGGCTGGTATTTATGTTATATTTAGGCTAAATCACAAAAACACTCATGAAGCCACCAACTTACCAGGATTCAAATATATGTTAAACTACTAGTTTTTAGTGATCTTATCCACTAAGCTGCTGTTAGGCATGTTGAAGGGATAAGTATATAATTGGATTATTCATTGAATGCTGCTATCATTAATTACCTGCATTTGGCATAGCAGAATCTGGAACAGTAGAACAAGCACCCAAGACTTCAGCGGAATTTATTTCACAAGATGATGGCTTAGAGCCTACTTGAGCATCGGCAGAACTGCTGACAGTATAACTTTGAGACTGAGCATCTTCCTCCTCCTAAAATATAAGGTGAATTAAATGTTAGTATTGTTTAATACAGTCAAATCTCTTTAAGCTAGATAAGACATTAAAAGAAGTGCATGTGTTAGGAGCATGTTCTGATATCACACTTATCCATAACTGACATTAAATTATACTACTTAATGACAGTTTCACATTCAACAAGATAATACATAAGTACCATAAATAAGATAAAACATATATCCATACATGTGTTCTAAACTGCAAATGCCTCCATATTATATAGCTTAATATTTTTGATAGACACATATTCCTTATCTTCTGTCTTAGATACTTCCTTATTATTATAGCTCCCAATGCCAAGTTAGCACCAGGATTATCACCAAATTCTTGTTTACATTTTACTGTTTCATGCATTTTGTGGTTACCATGTTACCATGATTGCTTTTAATATGGCATCAGACACATTTCCTGGTTCTAAGGATTTTCACTACATGAACTAGGCAAACTAAACCATGCCTTGTTGATTATTTTTCGCTGCTTAACCCAGTGCCACAATCTTTCAACATTTTCACTGTTGTTGGACCAACAAAAAAATTTATTTTTCACAGTAATATGCTTTTTTCAATGCCTCTGTTTTATATGCTCACCAATAGTCTGAATAAATTGCCAATCCCTTTTGCACACGGTTAGAATTTTTGCCACGAGTGTGGTTTCAAATAAAGAATTCACTAGTTTCCCGGCATAACTCAACAACTATCCAGTATTGCAGAACTTTTTTTCGCCTTTGCATGATTAAAAAAAAAGCCTATGCGAGAACAACAGAGGAAAACTCAAGAAAGCTGTAGAGAAATGGTGGATAATTAAACTTTTAGTCACATCTACCGATAAAAAATGAAAAATAAAATAAAATAAAATAAATAAAGCAATTAGGAAACGAATTCTTGAACAAATGATGATAAAGAGGGATTATAATTTAATCATTAACCAGAATGAAAAGATTTAGTACTTACATAGTAACCTATTAATCATGTAACTGTTCACAAGCAGTGAAATTTAGCACCAATTATGGATAAGACATAACAACTTATAATATCTACTCTTTCGTTTACGTAGCCTCAAATGGTTCTTGATAAGCCACCTTTTATTTTTATGAACAAGGATTTGAATTAATTGTTATTGCTATAATTTTCGCTAGCACTTAATATTAAAATTTACACAAGCAGTGGATTATTTTCAATGTTATGGGATAATAAACATTAATTGACATGATAAGTTTAGCTGAATAGATTGGACAAAACAGTAATAGACTGGAACAAGCCTAGAAGTTTCTATTCATAGCATTCTAAACAAAGCTTTCAGCAAAACCAGTGGGTTTAACAATAAGGTAGAAAACAATGAAAGCCTAATTACAATGTGCAAAAACAAAGCAGGTTGAATAAAGATTGTTTATTATTAGAGTGCAGTATAAAGAGGTGCAGTTCCTTCAGAATTACCCAGGGACAACTGATGAAACTTTGGCACAATCTCTACCAACTTTGATGGTTCCATGACAGTGAATTTTCATGCTCATAGGCCACCAAAGACTTTTAGGGATATGAAACACCTTCAGGAAATCAAATTCATCAATAATAAACTTTTGAAAAATAATTTTGGATGCAATTTGAATAACTTTAATAGATTTCTTTTCTATCATTTGCACTCCCACAAATGAGTAAAAAGGTTCTAGTTAATCTTTAAAAACCATTGAATATCAAAGGTTTTTAACTGCAAATTTACTTAATTACACCAATTCCTATTGCTGTAGCATGTAAATCTTTTTTTATCCAATTATAATAAAACTAAAATTTTAATAAACTAACGGTAACCTCTACATATAATAAAAGAAAGATTCTGTCTGTGTGTCTTTCGTACATGCTGTGTGCAAGCTAATAGACCCAGGGTTACAAAATTGGGTACACAGCTGCATCTAGACAAGAGCCAGTGCACATCAAAGCAATTTTTTTTTTTTTTTATATTCGGATCTTTTTTTTTTTTTTTTTAATTTTTATCTTTTTTGATGAAATTGCATCATTTTGAATAGTTTCATTTGTTTAGAAATGTGGTTTTGGCCAGGGCTGCGAAGTCGCTAAAAACAGGTCGACTCAGACTCCAGTTTTTGTTGGACAGTTTGAAATTGAAATGAAATTTAAATGAATTGAAAAGAATTAATGACAAGCTAATTATTTTTATTTACAAACTGTATACATTAATAAATAGTTATTTTATATTTTACTGACATATTAATAAATAAATAAATATGAGGATGGATGTGATAATTGCCATTAGCAATTAAACTGATTCATTTAATAATAAACCCTAATAAATAACCCTAATTTTTCACTAACAGAAAGACTGTGGAATGATCTTGCAGAACTGAAACTCCTTCTTTCAACACCATTTATAGCCACAAAAAAGCTACAATCTGAAGAATTAACAAGACTGGAAGAATGCGATGTTTGTTCTTTCTGAAATGGAGGGTTTATTGCAGAAGGAATCGTTTCTTCAATGAAGAAAAGATAAACTAATTTGCTAGATAATAAGATCGCGCTGGGTTTCAATATATTAGATCCAAAACGCACTTTTATTGGATACAAACCATTAAAAAGGCAAAGAAAAAGCCCTATGAACTCATTAAGAAGAAATTTTTCAGAACAAGGGGAGTATTCAAATCAGGACAGTCAACTGCAGATATTGCAACGAGTCTCTAATCACTTCCTTCACGATGAATATTGTTGTTGAACAACTTTCTAAGAAACTGGCTTGTATTGCATTACATATATAACTAGAAAATCAACATGCAACCAGCCCTTTTAACCATGACATGAAACTAGATCAAACTACCGTATTCAATATCAGTCGTAAGACAAATCTGAAGAAATGTTTGCAATATCTTAATCAGAAATTCTATGTTTGCATAGCAGGAGTACTTGCAAGTTTTAAGGTAGAGAATACTACTTTTTTTTTTTTTTTTTTTTGGTTTCCTTTCTTTATATAGGTATTGACCATGTATTCAACAATATTCTCTTCATCATGCAGAATACAATATTTTTGGTGATCTTTGGATATGGTAACAGGTAGTTTGGGACATTTTGGAAGGCGATAAAGTTACTACTAGGACTTTGTACTAATGTGAGAAGCTCAGTTCCGATTACGCATTATTTGTGTGAGTGAAATGAGAGACATGAGATATGTCTGTGACATTAATGGCGAATCACTGTTTTTTAATCGGAAAGGGGTATATTGTAAAAATATCCGCTTACTTATACAGGATAGTTTCATTCTATGTTCTGTGAAACAGTGTTGTGTATATTTGGACCCATGGCCGTATAAAAGTAATCCGAAATTTTTATAACGTTTTGTAAATTGAAAGATTGCTATTGTGGATAAGTATGATGCTTGTGGGATGAAATGAATGTGTGAAAGAAGGATATTACAGATTTTTGAATGGCGGTGCAAGAAACCTGGTGAAAATGGACATTTTGTGATCCGCCATGCACTCAATTCTTATAAGATTAGGTAAGTAGTATTTTTAATTATTTAGGATATTATTTTTATGCATGTTCTAAATAAGGAGTAAATCAATTATATGGTTTATTGGAAAATTGGTTATTAGCACTGATTTAGTTTAAAGTAATTAGGATTGTAAGCTAAATTATTTTGTATGTTTATTTATATTTTAAGTATTTTTTTTTAATTTAATTATATTTTAATTTAATGTCGTGATTTGAGGTTATATGTTTGTAGCTTTGGAATACGTTGATAGAAGAAATGTGCATGGAAAGAATTTATATTTGGACACAAGTATTTGTATCATTTTTAATGTTTGTTATAAATTCGTTGATGAAGTTATAATAGATAATTTAGAGGTAAAAGTTTTTTGGATATTTATTTATTTTCGCAAATGTCCTCCTTGGAAGGTATATACTTTTTCCGCGATCAGTAATTTTATATATGTCCTTTTTACCGATTAAAAAATTCACAAAATTTTCATGCATTTTCGTTAATTTTTTTCAATTTATGAGAAAAAGCATGTGTATGGATATAGTGAAGAGTGTGCGCAAGCATTTTGTGCAATTCTGGGATGTTTTTTTAAGTAAATAAGTCGACGTGTACATGGTTTAGTGATATTTATTAAATGATAGTTATTTTTGTGAATTTTATGTTTGTAGATTTGGTATACGTTTCAGTTGAAGTAAACGTGTATGGAAATAATTTAAATATTTGACTAAGTATTTGTAACATTTTTAATGTTGCGTATAAATTCGTTGGGTGACTTTTAATATAATGGGTACAACTCTAATATACGCCCTAATTTTACCAAATGTGGCGATATGTAATCTGCACTGGTTTTTGGCACGATTGTGTGTCCTATGGCAACCCTGTTAATGTTGAAAAATCTTTCGCTGGAGCTCGTTGATTCGCCTCTGTGTCTGAGAATCCCCGGAGGGAAAGATAAAATGGTAGTTGTTGAATTGAAGTTCGGCAAAATATCATTGTGGCTATCCTGTTGAGGATAGTGGTATTAAGTGTGAAAGAGGTCTGGGAGATTATTTTTAATGGCATGCAAGGATAGAAGTAGGGATTTGTGATTTTATTTATGTGAACCATAGTATAAATTTTCTGAATGTGTCTGGCTGTATGTAATACGATAGTGATTACAGGCGGCATGTTAAGGCGGTATGAAATTTATATTTCTGCTATTCGAAACGCATTAATTCATGGTGGCTTTATTTTATCCTTTCTTATTTTGAGAATGTAGTCATTGGTTCGTTAGTATGAATTTCTTCGTTATTGTTGTTTTTAATTGTTTGAAATTTATTTTAGTTTATTGTTGTTTAGTGTCTGACTGTGCTTCGTAGATGTTTTTAAAGTTTAACAGAACGCTGTGTACATGGTTTATTTGAAATTTATTGTTGTTATGTTATTATTAAAGCGAGGAATGCGAGATCGTAGATTCTTCCTTGCCTAAATTGGCAATTCGATTTTTTTTAAAG